AAAAAAAGGGTTATGTTATATAAACAAAATTTATAAGCTTAATATTGGTATTGTTACAATTAACTATTGTTTGTAAATTCTTATAAATATACAGTCTTTCTTCGTCTCAAAAATTTTTTCCAATACAAAAAACCAAAACAAAAATAAAACAAATATCTCTTGAAGAGTAAAAAATAAAAAATAAAAAATAAAAATCAACTTTTTAAATTTAAAAAACAAAATTTTACGAATCTACAAAAATGAAATCAACTCAAGCTATCGCTCAAACTATTGTCAGCTCAGCCACCATTTCAAAAGGTGCCACTGAAAAACCTGAAAATGCTACAAACCATTGCTCTCTAATGTAAAGAAAATATTGAAGCAATTCAAAAAAAAAAACAAAGAAACGAAAAATTCAAAATTTTTCTTAATTTATTATTTATTTATTATTATTAATGTGTAATTTATAATTTTTAATCATGTATTTATTATTATTTTTATATTTTTATTTCAAATTTTATAATTTCTAATAAAATAAAAAAATAAATTAATTAACGCATATTATTATGCCAATTCAATTTAAATTCAATCTAAATTCATATATCACAAACCATCTCCGCCTATAAATATGCAATGCATAAATTTGAAATACATATTCTTGAGCATAAACCTAGAAATATATCTCCGGAATTTTTGTGGGATATAGCTCAGAGTAATTTCATTTATTTTTAATATTATTATTTAACAACAAGGATTGGATTTTGTTTTTTTATCTACAGAACTATTTAAGTGATTTATTAGACATATTTAACATCTTTTTCTGTAGCTAATTCTTGTTGTTACAGGAATTTTTTTACAGTTTCAAATGCTTTCCTTCCTTATTCTATAGAAACAACTCGTTCTTTTCGCTCATGTGCATTTCCAGTTCCATTTCAACATGTTCAGGTTGCCGGACACCTTCTGAAATAAGAATATGATATTGATAATGTTACTTTTTACTTTATATCCTATTTCACCAAATAAAAGGTAGAATGAGGACTTGAGCAGATATAGGAAGGTTATTAGTAGTGCTACTAGCCGACTAGTCGTAGCCGCGACTAGAAATTTTTCAAGTCGACTGAGTCGCGACCGGGTTTCAGCCGTAAATCATTATAACCTTAATATGACTGTAGTCGTGATATTTTCAAAAATGTCAATAATTAGCAGAGTTTTTTATTACAAAATTTGTAAATATACTATTTTTATTAATTTAAAAATTGAAATTTTAACATATATAATATACACAGTATACAAAGAAATAATAATTTTTAAAAAACAAATTGAATCCATTTCTTGAAGAGAGCTTGCTGGTTTTGAACGTGGTACTATTTATGGTCTATGAAAAGGAAATATCAAAAATTCTTAAAATTTCTACTTCCTAATACTCCTAATAATAATGTTTTTAAATGAATGCAACTCCATCCAACTTTTTTATTTAAGATATTGTACTAGCGATGCTAGCTGGTAGAAAAACCTTAGCCGGCTAAGAACTTAAATAAACCCCAGTTGATGAAAAAAATTTTCAGATGGCACTAAGCCTCCCGGTATTATTATTGCTACTATCATCGTTATTATTATTATTATTATTATTATTATTATTATTATTATTATTATTATTATTACTATTATTGACTATTGTTGCTATAATATCTTGCCTTTAATTGTTCGAATAAGGTTTATTCGAATTATTTGTTTTATTCGTTATGAAGTTAGTATTCGAATTACATTGAAAGTTTATTCGAATAAAACGAATAATAATAATAATTAAAATAAGAAATTGTATTACGAAGAGAAATTCTAACTGTCTTTTATCCTGCTACGTATTATATTTGGTTTTTTGAGCAAATGTATATTTTTTTGTCATTCTAAGTAATGCAGGCGGACCATCCCAATTAAATGTTTATTCCGCTGAATCCTGCACTAAAATTCCAGACGTAAAAAATGAATGTTAAGAGAAAATTTTTTTAGCCGGCAAGTAGTTTATTATTACTGTATTATCTTACTCGGATCAATTTTTTGTAAGTTTTTTACGGTTATCACTCGATATGATAGCATATGTAGTTCATAGACGAGCTCATTTAGGTCATTGTGTGTAAATAGAATTTTAAAAAATTATAGAAACATAGTAACAAACATCCTAACCCTGCCGATCATATATAAAATTATAAGGTTTGACCCACAAAAGTTTCGAATAATAATAATAATAATAACTGTGTAAATTAATATGCACAATCCAATTAAAAAATTTTCTTCAGTTGAATTCTTGTATTTTCTTATAATTCTAATTTTAATTTCTTATAATAAATAAGTTAATATCAAATATTGTTACATAATCTGAATATTCAAGATAAATTAAAG